CAGGAATTATCACGAGTAAGCAGACTGCCCATCTTTCCTTCTCAGAGCAGCTGAAGGATTTGAAGCACCTGCCTTTGGGCTGGCAGTGGAGCTCTTTACCATGAGCCACCAGGACTCCATGCCGAAGAAATAACTAGATAAGATCTTCTGATGTGTAAATTGTGTGCATAACGGAAATGTGTTTTCAGATGTCTCAAGATAGAGAATGACAAACTACCAGGATCAAGTTTTTTACTTTTAAATATTAGTTGTTGTTGTTGTTGTTATGTGCCATCGAGTCACCTGCGACTTCATAGTGAACCTATGTACAACAGCCCTAAACTCCGCTCTATCCTGTGTCTGTCTTACTGTCTGTGATAACGCAGGATTACAGCAGAACTGATGCCTTAACATTGTAGTGTTGGAGAAGAATACAGAATATTCCATGGACTGCAAGTGTCCTGAGAATGATCCTTGAAGGCAAAGATGGCGAAGCCTCATCTCTCATACTCTGCACTTGTTGCTAGGAGAGGGTGTTTATTGAAAACACATCATGTTTGGGACAATGGAAGGGTCAGCAAACGAGGAGGATTGACAAAGTGACTGCAGCAACAGGCTCAAATGTGCTAGAGATGATGAGGATGGCACAAGATAGGACAGTGTTCGTAGCTATTGTTCACAGAGTCGCTATGAGTCACACCTGACAACATCTAAGCAATAACAAAGACAAACCAGGAACCATACTGGTTTAAGGAAAGTGACTACTTGACGTACAGAGAAAACTGTGTTTGGGTTGATCAGCTAATAGAATCTCCAATTGAGCATATACGATTTTATCAGGTGTCATGTGAGTGGATTTGCCAGATTCATCTAACAATGAGCTATGTGCTAGAAGTCTCTTGGTTTATAGTCAACCAGCACCTAGTAGGTGTGCCTGTATTTTAAAAGTGGTAGGGTCCAAGGGTCCCGAGGGCCTAGTGTTAACTGATTTGGGGATGAACTTTTTCCTAAGGGCTACAGCAATGGTCTCTCTGTTTGCTGTACTGAAGTAACCTGGGGTTGCTGGGATGCTGAACGCTGTGTCATAGGTGTGTGTGTCCAATTCCATAATGGTTGCCTATCATGGACAGTGTTTGGAGGAACTTCCAGATTGGTTCAGGTTTGGAAGCAGGAGTGGCATCCACTTCCTAAACCACATACCTCTGGAAACACTATGAACATAGTGAAATGCTGGCAGTTATACAACAGGGTTCAGGTCTTGCGTTCATATAGAGTTGCTATGATTTGTCCTTGACTCGAAGGAACTTAGCGACAGCAACATCTAGAACAAGGTTGGAAGTAATTGGAGAATACTTTAAATTGGCCATTTTGACTTAACAACAACAAAAATGATAGACTGATGTGAAGCAGAAGGAGTCTGCTGCCTCTAATCTGGCAGGGCCTGGGTGATGTAACTGATGAATCTCTGGGCTTGTCACAGACACAAGGGACCTGTGCCATACTGTAAAATAGGAAAGCACCTTAAAAAGACATTCAGGGGCTAGTCTTGTCCGTTCCTGAATTCTGGCTCTGGTGGTCACTGGCTCCATCACCTTGTGCCTGTTTCTTACTCTTTAAACCACAGTTTTCTCACATGAAAATGCCTCTCTCTCATTGTTGTCCAGATGGAAATAACCCAGAGTTGGCCCTCCAACAGGTTTCTGAAGGATGTAATTCCCATGATAAGAGATTATCTTTCTCTTGCATATAGAATAGTAATTCCTTCTCTAAGAAATCTGTTATACCATTTGTTATAATTGATAGAAGGCCCTAAGGTACATAGCCTAATGTCCAGCAACCAAGAGCTTACTAAAGCCCAGTAGCAAAGCCTAGATGGCAGAGACTGGCAGAAAAGAAGGATGACTGGAAGTGGGGCCCACGGGGAGGGCATGGAAGAATGCTGTTACCTCAAAGGGATTACAACACACCCCATAAAATCAATTTTTTAAAAGTTGAAGAGAAAACTAATGTTCTCTGTCAACTTCCACTCAAGTTACAAAAAAAGTTTAAAAAAACCCCACATCACAGGAGATGGAAAACTTTTGGAAAAAGCAAGTTTATTCTGATACACATTTTACTACGCTGATAGGAGTAAGAGAATGCGGGCCTCATTAGCATTTGCAATCTGTTCATTATTTTCCTTTCCACAAGGACAGCTATAACAAAGGTGCTCTATTTTTACCACGTCCGATCGTCTACTCAGTGCCACCATTTTTCCCTCCTCGACATCTAGTGTGTTTCCCACTTAAGGGATTTTCACTACACCTTATAAAAGCAGACAGGTATTTTCTGGTTGGACACACTTATGCCTGGCAGCAGTAACGGGAGACTAATACGCTTCACCGCCTGGTAGTTCAGGAAGAGAAGTTAAAAGATGCATGACAGGGGAATGTCAATCTGGCCACGCAAGACACACAGGAAGAGTCAGAACACCCAGCAGTGAGCTGTGAGCTCCACACGCACCTTATTAAGCTGTTGTTTGTGAAGCTGGTTCAGTCTAACTAATCCCAATTGTACGTGGGGAGCAAAGAGCCAAAGGGAACGCTACAGGACCTCAAGACGCTACAGGACCTCAAGACGCTACAGGACCTCAAGTACTCGGACTCCAAGGTTCACACAAGTAAAGGGAAAAAATCCTTAAAACGCACTATAGTCAATTTAGTGGTGGCTTTTGTGTGCAGCAAAACTAACTCTTTTTGTACACAATTGGAGAGAAACTAGAATATTCTTTCAAAACTGTAACCTCTGGAAAACCAACGTTACAGTGGATTCTGACACACAGTGACACTCTCCTGAGTTTCTGAGGCTACAAATCTTCAAGAGAGGCCACTTTCCATCCTGTCCCCATAGAGCTTCTAGTGGATTTGAACTGCGTGACTCTACCAGAGGTCTATTCTCAGAATGCATGTGCACTATTTAACACCAATTTTATTTTTAAAGAGCTGAAATGAGTTTCTCTGATAATTTTCTAAAGACAAAATATGTACACTGAGGTAATAACTGAATGTGTTAGTCATTTTTAGAGCTTATTTTTAAGCATTTTTAGCTTGATGAAAGAAAAGCCAGCAGATGTCAACTATGAATTGAAGTTTGATAAAAACGTATAATCAAATTAGTGGTGGTGATGGGACATGTTTTTGATTTAGACAGCAGTGTGGATGAGAAAGATTTCCTGCATGAAGCATGACTGAGGTACCTAATTAATAACTTTCTCATGACATCCGGATGTGACAATATACCACTCGAGTTGCACTCAACTCCTGACAAGAGAATCTTAAGACTGACTGGGAAATTCATGAATGTGCTAATTGCAGGGTCATCTTTCTCATTTAGAAAATTTGGATGGAAGGAAGTAAGAGAGGCAGGTGGAGAGGAAGAACGAGGAGAGAGGACTCAGAGGAAAGCGTTTACTCTTAGAGTTATTACAGGGTGTTGACAGCAACTGTCTGATGCTCTGTAGATAGAGGTGTTCTGTTCTGTACATGAATTAGAAAAAGATTCTCACCACAGCACAACAGGGAAAATTCTCCTAGTCTCTCTGCTGTTAAATACAACTCGGATGGTATAGCCCATAAGAAATGACATTATTGCATCAAAGGCTCCACTTCTCTGCTGGCTAGCAGTTAAAATCTACTAGGTGCCTTGAAGGAGAAAGATGAACCATCTCTTCCTTCATGATTTGCCACCCTGGAGACCAACAGAGGGTCAGCTATGAGCGTGTTCTAACTTGACAGCAATTCTGTTTCTCTATTTTGTGCTTTAAAGGTTAAGAAACCAGTATTAGATGGATTCACCTTCCCTTTCAAAGAAATAAGCAATATGTTGGAGGCAATAATGGAGTATAAGTATACTGAATCCAGTCTTAAACACCACTGATGCTTCCAATGCTTCTATTATTGAAATAAACTATTGAATGAAAAATAAATCATGATTGGCTTTGCTAATTTTACTAAATATCTACAAGAGTAGTATCCCAGATACACTACTAATTTGTCATCACTGCTATAGGAAGAATATTCTGAAAAAGAAGTACAGCTAACAATAAGTCCTATCACACAACGCTCATGTTGGATATTTCACACTTTAAAAGGATGCTTCATAATTGCTTATTAAGCTTTAATTCTTATAAAACTAGGGGGGAAATCTCACTTTCCCAAATTAGAAAAAATAACCAGAGAAAATTAGTGTCTGTCTCTCTCTCTCTCTCTCTCACACACACACACACACACACACACACACACGTATACAGACATACACATTAATGTTCTTTTGGGAAATTATAACTTCTGTACTATTGAATGAACAATCTTTTAAAATTTGCAGACAAACTGAGAAATCAAATTAATTCTAAGAAGCTGTTTGGATAAAAGACTACAGTTTCTGAAATGAATGCACAATTGAAACAATGGAAAATGTTTCTCATCCATCTCCTGTGTAGAATATTCAGAAGTAAATAACCAAGCGATGGTAAATTAAAACATGAAGCAAAATCAAACCCCCACGATACTGTAGGATGAAAATGCATTTTAAACATAAACTATTTATCTTCACTGTTCTTTTTGAATGAAACATTGATTGCTTTTCCAGAGCTAGACTTTGAATTCATCATTTGGAACCATGGACAAAGAATTAAATGTAAGCTGTGAACATTAAATGCCCTTCTAGTGAGACTAAAAATTATGAACATGTGAAGATAATGAAACAAACAAACATAAAACCCAAACAAGCCTAGGGCTATGGAGTTTGTTCTGACTCCTGGAGACCCTCCACCTCCTTTCTTGGTTACAAAATGTTATTAAGACAAAACCTCTTTCTTACAAGAAACGGCTCGTAGCTTTGAACTGTCAACCTTGCAGTTAGCAGCTTCATACATGATGTGCAGTGCCACCAACACCCCTTGTGTGTCTCACCGACCGTCCGCTGTGCCCTGTGCCCGGAGTATGAGAGGGCCCTGTGCCCCCGGCTCCGGGACGGGGACCTACCCAGCAAGGTGAGGACGCAGGCCAGGATGGCGAGCAGGGCCCCGGTGCTGAGGCCCGCGGGCAGCACGTAGGCCTCAGCGTTGCAGGTCTGGGCGATGCCGTCGGCGTCACAGTCACACACCCGGATGGTGAGCGTGTTGGTGCTGCTGAGCGAGGGCGAGCCGCTGTCCACGATGAAGATGGGCAGGTAGTACACAGCCTGCTCCTGCCTCCGGAAGCCGTTCCTCCGGGTCAGGATGGAGGCCGTGTTGTCTACGACAGAGAAAACAGCGGTCACCCTTGTCCTTGACGCCTCAGTGGTCCAAGGGGGGCCAGGTTCAGGCTCTGCTTTCCAAAGAGATGAAAGACTAGGCCAGGCCAGTTCCTCAGCTACTGTGTGCGTCTTAAGACATCTTTCCAAATACTGGTTAAAATGACTGTATTTTAGGTTTTTACGCTAGACTACACTCAATTATGATTAAAAAAGAAATGCAAAGTAAGTTGAACATGTTAATATTCGTGTGATAGTCATGTTAAATAAAGCTTTAAAGTTTAAAATATACTTGTTTTGGGTGAAACATTCTTCTAGGTCGTGTAACCCTGGTATGCCTACTTGCTGTACAGAGGTAACTTGTGGTTGCTGTGAAACTGAACACTGTGACACTGATGAGTCAAATGAGATAATAGTTACCCATGGGGGACAGTGTTTGGTGGAGCTCCCCAATTAAAACAAGCTTGGAAGCAGGAGTAGCATCCACTTCCACAATAGCTTGCCTCTGGAAACCCTATGAACCTGGAGAAAGGATGAAAGTGTCCAGGACTTTCATTCATAGGGTCGCTAATTGTTGCCTGCAACTCAATGGCACTTAACAACAAACAACAATAACTTATAGAAAAGATAGATGGTAGAAACAAAGAGGTTGAATACTATTCTTTTTTGAAGGTGAAATAAAAAGATAGCCTGATTAGAAATGGTATGTTCCAGTCTGGGACAGGTCAGTTCTTTGACAATAAAGCGGTACAGAAAAAAGCCAGGTTAAATGTTGTCAAGGTAACATCCCCCACTGCAATCAGGGCAATTTTGACCCATGGTGAACCCCCGCTACAACTGGATTTCTGAGGCTTTAAGTCTCGATGTTAGGAGACTATCTTCTTCCTCTGGGGAAGCTGGGAGATTTGAACTGCTGAGCATTCAGTTAGCAGCACAACACATACCACACTCTCCCATCAGAGCCCCTCCATTGTTATGTCCCACAAATGAAGTATTTCACTCCATTCTCTCTGACAAGCTCTAAGTCCAATATAGAAATAAGTAAAATAATCTACTCTAGCTTTTCTAATTAAAAATGCTAGGAAAGAAAGAGAGCCATTTTTAAGTCAGTATTTGAAAAATTATATACTATTACCCAAAGCCTATGTACATTTTGTCAGTGAAAAGTAGTCAATTTGTGTTTATTTTTTATTCATTATATTTCTTGTCAACAACTCTAATGACTTTGATAAGTCTTATAGTGATAAAGAACTCTATAATATGCTGTAATTGATTTCTAGATAGGGAAAACAGTTTCAACTTTTTATATTCCAGAAATTTCTTCCAATCTTAGTTAATTTGCATTATTGTTTATTGCTGTCCAGTCAACTCTAATTCTTAGAGACCTTCTAGGACAGAATAAAGTCCACTATATTTTGGGGTATCTGCACAAGTGCCAGAATCTTGGCCCATTTTTCTGGCTACTGTGATAATCCATCTCACCAAGGGTCTCTCATGTCTTGTGTTTTAGTCATTCAACCCGACTCAACCCCACTCAGTTTATTGCTGTGTAGTCAGAATGACTCATAGCTGACCCTCCAACAGATTTTCATATACTGTAAATAATGTGGAGTGGAGTGTCCATATTTCTCACCATGGTTCAAATCCAGTAACTGGCCAATCTTCTCCAGATGGGCAATTTTCCCCTGTAAATATTCACAGGTATGGAAACCTGAAAGAAGGTCACTATGAGACATAATTAACTCTAAAGTAGTAGATTTGGTTTGGTTTCATTTCTACTTAATCAAGAATGATGCATTTCTCCAGAGACTGGACCTCTAGTTGAAAAAAAAAAAAGTGAGACACAGCAAATATCTCACTAACTTTGCTTCAAAGTTACGTGCTTGTACTTCTTCCAAGATCTTCTATCTTTATTCTCCTAGTAGCCAAAACAACATGCAATATTTTTCACCAAGAATATAATCCAAAGGTATTAGCTGTTCCGTCTTCCTCATTTAATGTACATCTTTCACAATGCATGTGTGGATTTTGAAAATATCATGGTTTGGGTCACACATGTACCTTAGCACTCAAGTAGCCATTGTTCCTTTTTAGCACTTTAAAAAGTTCCTTATAACAAATATGCACAATGTGATACATTGTTGGAGTTTTCTTTTTATTGTTGCTTCCATGGCTATTGACTGTCCATTCAAGGGAAAGGAAATACTTGACAAATGCAACTGTTTCTCCATTTCTTAAGATTTATAACACTCTGCCACGTGCAGATGACCTAATCTTGGTTGTAGAAAATTAAAAGGACTTGAAGCACTTACTGCTGAAGCTCAAAGACTAGACTCTTCAATATTGACTGAATGCCAACATGAAGAAAACAATTATGCTGAGTGAAATATCTTAGTCATGAAAGGACAAATACTGCATAATGCCACTGTTATAAAATAGGACTGACATCAGGGTTGGGGGAAACTAAAAAAAAAGAGGGGATAAATAATATACACTGCACTGACACAGATAAGGGAAAGAACTGCTTAAAAAGAATATGTGATTAAGTATTCTATGCATGACAACAGTCCTGAATAAGAGCTGCACAGTAAAGTGGACTGGGCTGGGGGTGGGGAATTGTACAACGAAATAATTTTTTTTTCAAAGAGCAAAATGAACTGGGTTGGGGATGGGCAACAATGAATGAATGGAAATCCAAGTTCTCTATAAATTTTCATTAAAATCGCAATAAAAAGACAAAATAAAACTTACACACAGCAGAAAAAAAAGAAAACAAACATCACAAGTAGACCAGCAAAGAACATCATGGTAAATGGATAATAATGTTTCTACTATATTGTATTCTTTTAAACATGTAACAGCTTGGTGGAAAAGAGAATTACAAATATGAGACACAAAGAGATCACATGCTGCTGGGGAAATCTGTGCCGACACACCCGCTCAACAAGAGGCTGTCACACACCTTCACTTTGTGAAACACAGTGAATAAAATGAGGCGTGCCTGCATTTTCAAACGGAATTGTTGAAATCAAGGTTGGATCTTTGAGACTAAAGAAAGGCTGGACTTAGTGCAAATCACTTGCAATGTCACGTCTTATTGAGAAAGCCTTTAAAGATAAGACAGTATTTGAGTAGTAACTCTTTTTATACTTTTCCCCCCTGAGAGTTGATTCACACATACAATTGACATCAAAGAATGAACTGGATTTTTCATATTGTTGGGGAGTACTATTCACACTTTATATCAGCTGTTCCTTTTATCGTTCCATTAAAATGAAATCTTAAATAAAAACAAAATCACATGCACATATGAATGTGAAATCAAAGAATAGGAGGCACTCCCATTTCTTATAAAATTTCTCAAGAATGACTATGCGTAGTTAATAAAAAAGGGAGTTTCTAACTACATATATCGATAAAATGAAAACATATAATGGTATTTACCTTTGAAGAAGACAAATGAGAACTGGGATGAAATAGAATTATTTGTTAGTTTTCTTTTTGTATTTCTTTATTATAGGAGTACATTTTACCATCTGCAAGCCTTACTTTTATTTTTGTAATAAATATAAAAGATAACTTGTGCTTTTACTGCAAACATTAAGCACGTAGTTGTTTAGGCTGAAATGTCTTACTTTTATTTTTGCAATAAATAGAAAAGATAACTTGTGTTTTTATTGCAAACATTAAGCACATAGTTGTTTAGGTTGAAATGTAGAGAGTTAAATTAGTTTCTTAATGTCTTAATTATATGTTAGTGGCAAAGGTCCTCCTCATTGAGGCTTGGCTCTCCACAAAACGGCTACTTTGGAGACAAAGTCTGTTGCCCACAAATGAAAGCAAGTGTCTGGAAGGAGAGAGAGATGGATCCGATTTTCTCCATAACTGGTCTTAAGGTTCAAAATGATTTAAATTACAGTTGCTTCTTCATGGCAGCAAATTCTTAGATAAAAATTACTTCAAGGGCTCATTGTCCTTTAATCCATGTCATTATTTTAAAAAATCATAATCAACACTCTTGAGAAGAAAAGCACCGAGCTGGAGTGTGTACCTGTTGAGTCCACAGGTGACGATGCCAGCATCACCTTACCTTTGTTGTCTTTCAGGGAGAAGTTGTGGTTATTGGTTGCATCTGTGGTCAAGCTGAAGAAGAACTGATGTCCACTGGAGGGCTCATCTTTATCCACAGCACTGATTTTCTGGATCACCTACGCACCGGAGATGAAGACGTGAACAGACGTTGGTGTACCTGGCTGCACTGTGAGTTAGGAACAAGCTATAGCATGCTTTAAGGAAATGCCTCCTTCCACACTGGGCTGGTGGAAGAGAGAATACACACCAGATACATTCAGATGAACTCAATTAAGAAGGGACTCTGATAAACACCTTTTCAAAAGGTCCTTTTCAAAAGTCATACCTGAACTTACATAAGTGAACTTTGGGAATCAGTTGCATCACTTGATAAAGCCATCCCAGGAATGGATCACTTTTTGGTTTATTGGTTGAAATCAAGTGTAAAAATTCCCAGTAAAGTCCATCTACTGAGGACGGGAATTGATCAAACCTGGACTGCACTCGCTTCACTGCTAGAATGTCCTGGTCCTGCAACTCTTCTGTGACATACGGGAAAGAGTCTGTCAAGTCTGTTCTTGGTACTAGGAAGTGTGCTCTGACACACAATGTCACCTCAGGGCCGTGAGCACTGTTCCACTGCGTTTCCAGGGCTGAAGTCTTCCAGGAGAAAGTCTATCTCCTATTTCCCCCCTAAAGAGTGGCAAGTGGTTTTGAATTACCAGGTGTTTTTGGTTAGCAACTGGTTGGTTAACCACTATGTGACCAGCATTCCTTGATAAGCTTATTTTTCCTTAAAGTAATCCAAAGCCACTTACCAGAGATTTTATCAGTTTGTTTTTTGGTTTTTTTCTTGCTGAGGGATTTCCATCATCCCAATTCAACCAGCTTTGGAAGTTTTGATAATGTGAGCTCTGCTTCCCATCAAAGTGTTAGTATTGCTGAATCAGGGTGATTGTAGCTTATCTTAAAGCAGGCGAGATTTCAAAGGCAGCATCTGTTGCACGCTTTAAGAGCTTTCGTAGGGAAGGTGTGGGTTGTGGTGAAGGCTCTCACCTGGCCCGGCTGCGCATTCTCACACACGGTGGTCTCATAGTCCATGGCGAATTCCGGGGCATTGTCATTGATGTCCAGGATGGTGATGGCCACGTAGCCCCGTCCTACTTGAGATGGATTCTCTAAGAAAGAATACAGTGTCTTATGGTTTACTCTGGTTGTAAGTTCATTAATTAAATATTGCTATTTTTTTAAAAAAATCAAATAACAACAGAAAACTTTTTAAAAAAGCACCCAACTTTAAATACAAGTTGAACTGACCTAAAATGATTGTCTTTCTGAACTATATTTATAATAATTAAGTGCTCAAGTCTCAAATAAAATCTGGAATTGTAGCACTGTAGATATTATAGACAGCTACAGATAATCTATTATATACATACACACAAACACACTCACATATACACACGTAGAATGAGTACATAATGACATGTACGCAGGTATATATAGGTGTGTGAAGGTTCAAATCAGAAAATTATTGAAAGGAATGACTAGTAAACAGACATGTTTCTGTATTCTTTGATGCTGGACATCCTATCTGTATGAATACACACACATACCCACATACAATTATGCCTGTTTGCATAAGTATGTATCCAGATGTGTTTGTGTTGCTGCTAGGTGCAGCTGAATCCATTCTGACTCATTGTGACCTATGTACAAACAGCAGAACAAAATCCCTTTTGCTCAATGCCGAGCCAACCTCACAGTGTCTACAGTGCTCATGCTCACTGCTGCAATCGCTGCATCAACCCATCACATCGAAGTTCTTCTTCTTCCGGCTGCCCCTCTGCTTGCACAAGTCCGCTGTCTAGGAACCAGGTGTTGTTTATAACATGCTCAAACTACATGAGCTGAAGTCTTGGCATGTGTAACCTGCTCGCTGGTTTCACTTCTTCCAATTCAAACTTGTTTATTCTTTTGGGAATCTACATTATATTCATATTTTACACAAATCCATGATTAAAACCACAATTCTTCTTAAGGTTCTCTTGTTCATTGTTCCAATTTCACACGCATCGTGGCAGCTAAGGAAATTGCATGTGGTGGTAATACTCTGTCTCTGTGGGAGGGTGTTCTTTGGTTTGAAATTGACTTAACAACACTGACCAACAACTTTCGTATCGTTTCTAGCTCTTGTTGTTGTTGTTGTTGGGTGTTGCCAAGCCAGCTGACTCAGTGAGCTCACGACGAATGGGAGAAACCCTGCCTGATCTCCATCACCATCATCTCCGCTGGACGTGAGCCCACGGTTGCAGGCACTGTGTCAACCGAGCCTGCTGAGGGGCCTCTTTTCCCTGACCCTCCACAAGTGTGACTGATGCCTTTTCCAGGGATTAGCCTCTCCTGGCAATATGCTCAAACAATGTGAGGCAAAGTCTCACCAATCTTGTTCTAAGGATGACTGGAGCCATATTTCATCTAAGACAAATATATGTGTATACATAAAGTACATTTGTGCACATAGTTCCACTTTTTCTTTTAGTGATTTTCTTATAAGAGACTAAAGTTAGTCCATATCAGAAAGTGCACATTTGGGTATTTTAGCTCAATATAATTGTACTAATTTTTAAAAAATAATACAATTTCAACTGCTTTTTATCAGCACCAGTGACCTCAAGTACCAGTGAAGCTCCCCAAAGTGATCTGGGCACCCTCTTTTATAGCATTTCCTTTTATAAATTTTGGAGTACTGGTAAACACTGTGGATGTAGACACGTGTCTCAGCAGGATTTTTCATTTCAATTACACATTTATTAACATTCGACTTGCACTTATAAATGTATGGCAACTTATGTTCTACTTCCAATGTCTTTGTCTTGACTGAATTTTAAACCTTACAACTTACGACTCTCCATTGCGAGGACCGTGATGTTATGAACAGCGTTGGTCTCTCGATCCAGGGCCTTGGCTGTAGTGATGACTCCACTGTTAGCATCGATGTTAAAGTATCTCTCCAAGTCTGTGTTTCTGTCAATTGAATACCTAATTGAACATTGGAAAACAAAACCAAAGAAAACCACTTCAATATTTATATGTGATTAGAGCTCGCCAAAATTATTTCGTTAATCACACAAGAACTAAGAAATCCTGCTGATGCTGTGAACTGCTATTTTAGTAAGAGGAATATGTGCACATCAGAAATTTTGACAGTACAATAGTGAGTTCACAACTATCAGCTGAGTATCCGTAATACAGCCATGAACGGTATCTTGACAGTGGTCTTGAATATGCCATTATAAACATCAATGTCCTTAACTAGCTCACCTTCATAGTTCATCCAAACAAAAGACAGATCTGAGGGGAACAGTAACACCGCGGAGGAACACAGTTATTATAAACCGCCCCCAGAGAAAACCACAAGGACAGCCTTACTCCAGAGATAAGGGTCAGCAGACAGGAAGGCAGAGGGAAGGATGGAAGAAAATGGTAAACGTAGGGATGGAGAAGGTAGAGTGTTATGGTCTTGGAGGAATTCAATCAATGCCATGAAGCAAATATTTATCACCTGTAGAGCAGCAACCCAAAGATATCTTTAAATGTCCCACTCAAATCACAAGAGTTTAAAAACTAAAACATAAATATCCTTTTTTTATGATTACTTGGGGGTCTGAAAAAAGTGACAAAAATTTTAGTGACCCTGACTACAGGTACTTTTTAAATGACACACACGTAGACATGCTGCCAACGTATGTACCCCTGGAATCATCCAATATCTCTGTGACGCTGGTTTGATGTTTAAATCCTTTTTCACTGCACCTCTCACTCAGATGTCTTACGTTTCAAGGATGTGTTTCAAAATAGAATTCCTACAATTGTCCAGATATTTTGGTGGGAAAACCTTTTCCACAGGTACCTATAATCTAAAATGAAGGAACATTCTAGAAAAATTTACTGTGCCATATATATTCCATGGCATTATTTGTTCTGTTCACAAAATGGATATTCTCTTTTTAATGACCATTATTAAATCCCTCTCATTTAAAAGATAATTAATAATTAAACAAGCAAACAGATACACATATATACTTTAAATTGAAAGCTGTTTTATATTGATACAGCAGTTCTCTACTGGCATTATTAAATGGAAACATCTATTAATATGTTTTGTGGAAAAAAAAATTCAGAAATCTAAAGGAAAAGGTAAAATACCAGAAAACATGAAGTAACCATCAACCACAAGCACAGTGGTTTGTGCAGTGACACTGCTGTGGTGTCAACAGGTGGGGAAGTTACTGTTCAAGGGCTTCTATTTTCTTGATGAGTTTTGAGAGAAGGTTATAAACTGAGAGAACAGAGAAGAAAATAGGGGGTTAGAGTAGAAGAGAGATATTTCTTTTAGAAAGGAGTAAAAAATATGCTAGGAACAGCAACATAGTATGGATTGCCCATTTGGGGATTATGGTACTGAATTTAACATGAAACCAGTCAACCCATGTGTCTGTTTTGCTTTAATACAAACCATGTGCTTGCAGGCGTAGAAACCCAGAGGCTTGGATTGAAGCAGCTCAGGCAGCGAGTGGGGAGAGGAATGAGGAGGACACAGGTAACTCACCGCATTACTAACGAATCATGGCTTAAAAATGGATAGGAGATAAGAGGAAATAGGGAAAGGAAGATTAATATTGACAAGACGCTGGTAGCATCAATAGGCTGTAGATCATCATCAGAGGCAGAACTGTTCAACCGGAAAGTGGTGACCAGAGAATGAGATGCATGAAGAAGAGTTTTAACAGAATGACACGTGGAAATACAGATAAACCATGAGTATGTTCAGAACAACCTATCGCTCAATGGGGGCAGAGTAATGGGAAATCAGGGCTACAAGGGCAACCAAGTCAAAGGGGACAAAGACTTGATGGATCAGGGGTAGAGATGAAGCAGTTACTAATCATCAATGGAGGAGTGATGGAGGGAATAAATGAAGTCATCCAAGTACAGAATTCAGTGAATCTGTGTGATTACAATGCAAGAAGCAGTCAAAAAAAAATCAACCAGTCTATTGCTTCAGACATAGGCCAGTAATAGAACTTTTTAAAGTGTTAACAAGCAAACCTGCGACTGTGTGGACTCTGGTGCACCTGACCACGCTGTAGTTTTCAGTAAAGCTTCTATGCATGTGAAAGTGGGTAAAGAACAAAGGGAGCTGAAGGACTGACACTCTGAATACGGTGGTGGTGAAGAATACAGACTGTATCATAAACCACCTGAAAAGGAACCGATCTTTCTTAGAAGTACAGTCAGAAGGTTCCATGAACATAAGGATAGTGAAGCTTCGCCTTGCATTGTTAGGACATAGTATAAGAAGGGACCAGTCCCTGCAGAAGGACAGCATGCTTAGCAAAAGAAAGGATTTGCAAAAGGAGAAAGATCTTCAGCAAGAAAGAGAAAAATAGTGGCTGAAACAACAGGTTTGAACTTAGTAATGATTGTGAGGACGGTGTGGGGCTGGGCAGGGCTTTCTTCTGTTTTGTAAGGAAAGGTTAAATGAATCAAAAGACTGGACACCAAAGCATTTGTATGAGGGACCTTCAGAGGACTCTAAGTGACATAGAGACAGTGTAATTTTTTTGCTAACCCATCTGGCACCATTTATTTCATTCTCCTGCCTTAATACGTTGGTAAAAGCAGCAAATGTGGTGATGAATACACACGTTGAAGTGGACCCACTCTATATTTTGCTCTTGGATTTGAACGGAACATGTACAGTCTTTCACCTGTAAGTAAGTTAACTAGCTGGATGTTTTCCACAACACACTGCCCGTGAGTTACTTCTGGCTCACAGAGACCTTCTGTTAAGTTTCTGAGACTCTAACTCTTCATGGGAGGAGATACTTCTCATTTTTTGCAAAGGAGAGCTGGTGGATCTAAACCATGAAGCTTTCAGTTAGGCACCTTTTATCAAGATGAGAGTTAATTTCTTTGTCTCGTTTGCTAAGATTTTATCAAGAATGGATGCTAAATTTTGTCAAGAGCATGTTGAACAACATCAGTTGCTATAATCATGCAGGTTTTCCTTATTTATTTTCTTGACACGATAGATCCTTTTGATTCATTTATGAATACTGAACCAATCAGGGCCAGGGAACTAGTGGGCAAAATGATGTGCTGCCAACTCAAAAGTGAGTGAAGTCAAGTTCACCAGCGATTGCTCCTGGGGAAAAAGGTACAGTCTCCTCTCAGGCAATTTGCAGCCTCTGAGCATCCGCTGGAGTGTCAGCTATGAGTCACTTCTGACACACTGCATGTAACAACAACATAGGGCTTTGGGAGATCTGCTGGTCTAGTGAGTAAGAAAGTGTGCCGTCAACCCTAAGGCAAGTAGTTCAAATTCACCAGTCACTCCAGGAGAGAAAGATGGGCAATCTCCTCACATCCAACAATCAGCACATGACACAGAAGCCTGGATTGAGAGGTGGAATAATGGTCAAACTAAACCACAGAAAGAAAGATAAAGGTATATTCCCTCTTCTTTTTTATAGAATTGACTGTGAAGAATTATCTGCCAGGAATACATTTAAGAGATGTTTTGCAGCACATATTGTCCATCTCAATTAGTAATTTAAGTTTGGGGTAACAGTTCCACAGGTGTTGATTATTGACACAAGTAAAATGAAATCTCTAACAACTTCAATCTTGTCTCCATTTATCATGATGCTATTTATTGGTCTAGTTGTGAGAATTTTCATTTTTTTTTATGTTTAGATGTGATCTATTCTGAAGGCTGTAGTCTTTGATCTTCATCAGTAAAACGCTTCAAATCCTCTTTGCTTTCAGCATGTAAGGATGCATCTTTTTCATGTCGCAGGACATTATTGAACCATTTTTCAATCCTGATGCACATTCTTCTTTGTATAGTCCAGGTTCTCAAACTATGTGTTCAGCGTACAGACCAATCAAGTATGGGGACACACAACAATCCTTACATACACCTTCGGTGAAACAGATGAGGGAAAGAATGGCTTAAAAGCGATATATGATTGGATATTATGGTTAAGAAGGGAGTCTAGAATGAAGGTTGCATAGTGGAGTGTACTAAGTGGGGGGAAGGACTGTGTACCAATGACGGAATTTTTCTTCTACTTTTCAGAGAGCAAACTGGGGGGTGGGGGAGGGAAGGGTGGGCAAGGAGAAAAATGCAACAATGAATGAATGGAAATCCAAAATTATTGTAAATGTCCATTAAAATTAATTAAAAAAACAGAAAATAATTTTACATAGTGATATAAACAGATATAAATTTTCAATCATGTAAAAAGACAGTATTATCTTCTCCGAAATATCGTATCAGTCAAATGGTTACAGAGTAGTTTTTCTTGTTAATATCCAGTAAATGAATTTGCCCAGACTTTTGTGTGGGTATGCCACAGAGACAGACATATGAACAATATGTACGTACAATTTTATGTTCTATTTTCTAGGACAACAATGAAACTGATATTAATGACTGATAAGATGTTTGCACTTCAGTGGTCAATCACACATACAGCCATTATTAAAAGCCTACTATTTTTAGATCTGTGAGTTAATCACTAAGAGAATGTTTACATATTCATGAGAAAATAGACTTCTGTATGCTTACAAAGTATAAAGGTCTTGAACTTGACACAGATCTGTCTAAATGACTTCTTGCAATACACTGCAGGGCTGAAGTCAATGAGTAAAACACTATCACTCATCCGGAGTCCCAAAGGTCACAGCATTAGCATAACAGACAATCGAGATTCATTTAATATGTGAACTGTCTCCAACCATTAGTCATCTCTTATCTAAGGTCCTCATCTTTTGAGGGTAGATGTATCATCTCGGCCCCTAGATGTCTGAAGAAGCTATCTCATAGGCAAGTACCCTATCATTCAAACATTTAATCAATTATACTCTACTGTTTCATTTTTTCCATGCAGTTTCATTTAATAAAAATCCTATGTGTTTCTTAATGATCATAACTCTCAATTAATGAACACAATCTCATCCATACAGGTTTG